CCCTTGCTGAAGCAGCCTGTTTGCTTCCCAGACAGCAAAATGGCGCAAGGAGCTTGAGACTTCAGGGTACAGCATCTCAGAATACTCATATTTCCAGTTTCTACCACATTTTAACAAGAGAAAAAGCTTCTACTAGCTCTGTGTTGGAAGCAGGAATAGCAGTTCTGCTCTTCCTATTTCCACCTCACCAGAAGAGTCTGAAGAGATCTGCAAGGCACAAACTTCAGTGAATTCTCCAAGCCCAGCTCCTGAAGCTGAGATTGGCAGGTTCCAACCAACTCAAAGTTCTATAATGAAATGCCATCTATGCCAAGGATAATGCTGTTGGAGCTCTCAAGGGTTAGACAGTTTCTGCACATTGTGGATGAGGACAGCAATGCAATTTTGCTCTAGTGACTGGAGCTTCATGTGCCTCAGTCTGCATGTACCCAGAAGCTTTATTCAGGAATAGAAGAGACTGCACACAAGATAAAAAAAGGCTTAAAATCCACTTTAATAATGCATTCCTGTAACATTCCTCAGACAAACAAACTTGTTAGTGGGACGATTACAGCTTGTGTTCAAACAGTTTACACTAAACGAAAATCTTGTAGTAGTTCTACACAATAGACAGGCAAGATTAAGGTTATACAAACAATAGTTTCAGTTAAGTCTTCAGCATGAGATACAGTATCTTTGTCCAATAGATTGTACTTTACTACCAGTAAAAATAAACAGCGGTACAACACATATCAAAGATCCATTCAATCAAGAGCCTTCCAGCCATTCAGGCTGCACATGACGGTCCACTACTTTAAAGAAATAAATGGTCCAGGGAAAAAGTAAAAACTACAAGTTAAAAAACATAAAACCCTCCTGGTTTCACTACATGATGGGTCATTTGGAGCTATATAAATTTACAGAGCCGCTGAGGGCTGCAAAAGATCCGAGTGCTGCCCTAATCTCCAGAGACTTGCCTGTGCTCTCAAAGGAGCTGTACTGGACGAATGCTAATACTCCGATTGTATCTAGTTAATCTCAGGACTGCAGCTGCATGTAGGAAACATGGAATGGTAAAGGCATCAGGGTTCTATCAGGTCTTACTTTTACTGCACAGCTACTGAAGCCTCCCAGAATCCACTTTTCACATTGAAATTATAGGAATGCACCATATTAAATTTACTAAAACCTTTACCAGTCAGACTGCACTCCCCTTTTCCTAGAGTGGCTTTGCCAAAGCAGGCCTTAATTAAAACTACCATGAAGAGTCACCCCCCAAGTAGAACTCTACGTGGCCTGCCAAGATTCCTTTCCTCTTTGGGGGGTTGGTAGGGGGTAGCTTAATCCTGTTAGTATCGACGACGTTTGTTAGGGCCAAAGTCCCCCCCAGGATTTCCTCTGTTGAAGCCAGGCGGGTTTCCTCCCATAGCTCCAAGTCCTTCCATTGCGCTGCCCTGGCCAAAGCGATCAGTGGGCGGTGGCGGTGTCTTGTACAGGGCGAGAGCGCAGAAGAGGCAGAAAGGAGAAAAGACTTAAGTTAGAAGCAATTCCAGTCCACCTGGGTCTGATCAGGATTCCACAAAACCAAGTGACTACCAACTCAAGGCATTACGTAACTGGAAAGCAGCGAGTTCAGAATCGTCCCTACTCTATGAATACAGAGTAAACTCTTAATTCCAGATTTACTGAGGGGAGTGCCCCAAACCAAGACTGGACTGACAGGGATGTGATCTCAGATAACTAAGTACCACAGGAACAAAGTCAGCTTCCCCCACAGAATTCAGGGCCAAGCATACTGGAAAATAGCCACACAAACCCTGTAGACTAATGCCCTGTAGTGGGCTGTCTGAGTAATGCAGTCTGGGATCCTGAGAATTTCACAATTCCACCATACTCCCCAAACTGAACACCATTCCTGGACACCCAGCCCCAATAATCATTCAAACTACAAATGGGGGTGATCAAGGGTTTGGAACCCTGACACATGCTGCCAATGTTGCTGAGGATTTCACACAACTAAGGGCAGTAAAATGGCAGCCCCCCATATACTCTCCCACGCAGAACAGAAAGGGTCTGGAACAGCCTTAGTCTTGTCCTGCAGGCCCTACTTGAGGGAAAGACTGGAACCACTGTCAATGCCAGGAATGGGTGAGTGGAGGATCTGCTCCTTATCAGACCAAGCAGCTGCTCTGGGACACAGGGTTCCATTAATTCCCAGCACCAACATGGAGGCAGTATAAGCAGGGCTGGCTTCCAAAGCAGCCTGTAAAAGCCTCCTGGCCCCTAGAAGTCCCGTCCCCCCCACTCACCAGAGACAATATTTGTCCTCCTTTTCAACAGTGCGCCTGGACTCCCCTCCTTTCACATTTCCCCCTCCCTGAATCCATCCTCTCCCCGTCATCCAATCCACCAATCTCCCTGCCCCTTTATCAACACAAACTTGGTCACCACTTGAAACACTGAGGTCATCACAAGAGAACTGAAGAAGTCTCAGATAATAATATACGCTACATTGGCAACTAGAGCAACTGCATGACCTTATTTTGGTAACCTTTGTCCTCTCCCTCCCATCCCCTGGCCTGCCTCTCCCAATGGTCACTAGCCTATAGCTTAGACTAAGCTTTCTGAAGCAGAGTGTGTCTTATTTGGTATGCAAAATTCCCAGAACACTTTAGACACCAAATATTTACACAGCTGCTATGCTCATGCTGCAGATGTGATACTGTGCCTCAGGCAAGAGCAGAGCTCCGTGGAGCAGATGGGAAAGAAATATGGAGGGAAGACATGGTCTGTTCTGAAGCTGTCACGTTAAAAGTCTTGTAGCCATCACTGGATATCATCAAAATCAGATTCTTTACAAGCTAATCTAGTTTAACCCTCTTAAGAGTCATCACCATTCCCACCCCATTACCTTCCTAAACTAAATTACTCACACAAACTTTGTTAAACTAAAGTAACCCCGAAACATTTGAAAGCTCAGAATTGAAGTGAACATGCAACAACCTTCACTTTGCCTCTACAGCAGTGGTTCTCAAACTTTTGTACTGGTGACCACTTTCACATAGCAAGCCTCTGAATGCGACCCCCCCCTTATAAATTAAAAGCATGTTAAAATATATTTAACACCATTATAAATGCTGGAGGCAAAGCGGGGTTTGGGGTGGCGGCTGACAGCTCGCGACTCCCCATGTAATAACCTCACGACACCCTGAGGGGTCCTGACCCCCAGTTTGAGAACCCCTGCTCTACAGCAACCTAGCTTTCATTTGTTTGTTCATTGCATCATTTTTATAAGGGCTTTAAGCAGTTCACATACAATGGCTGTGGCTATCTTATTAGGCAAACATATTGCCTTGATACAACTTGCAGATGATGTATCAAAAATATGCACCAACAAGCTCTGGTTTTATATATGGTTTCAAACATGCATGTTTGATACTAAATAGGATGCTTTTTCACCACACTAACTCACATTTTTTTCCACACAAGTACTGTAATTTCATAATCTGGCCTAGGTGGTATGCATATGTAGATACATTAGCACCAATCTTATACCTGCCTAACTGGTGGTCCAGTGAATCTTAAGAGTGGAGGAATAGCTATATTTAGTACGCTATTTGTTTAATTAGAATTCAAAAAGTGAATTTATGGACTGGTTTCATTTGTGTGGACATAAAGGCAAAAGTTGGTACAGCCACTGCCTGATTCAGAGTAAAGCATTCAAGTTTGTGGTGACTGCTGAGGTAAAATGTGTGGATGGACGACCATTGAAGTGAGCTGTAGCTCACGAAAGCTCATGCTCAAATAAATTGGTTGGTCTCTAAGGTGCCACAAGTACTCCTTTTCTTTTTGCGAAGACAGACTAACACGGCTGTTATTCTGAAACCTGTCTTATTTGCTTTTCTTATGGCCTTGTTGTTGGAGCAGAGTTCGGATGTGGATTTCTTTTAAGCAGAGCCTTAATTCTGGCTTTCTAATTGATGGAATTTTTAACCTTCTAGTACTGATAGATATTCAGCATTAAGAGTTTTTATCTTACTTTTCCTTTGGGTTTTTGCATTTTTAAACTGTTTAAAATACTGATACTGATTGGAAAGCAAGCAGCAGGATACCTGAAGAGCTCCGAAACTTTATAGGGCAATTAGGGAGAGGTAGGGAGGAGAAAAGTCAAAGAACTATGAGGGGCAATGAAGCCCCAATGATCCCTCCATTTATTCCCACTTACAAGGAAGTGTGGGGAAGAGAATGAAAATTCCCCAGCATCCACTTCAGAGGAATGGCACCAGTGGAAAGGACAAAAGGAGATACTATTGCCATAGGCAAGATAGTGCATTCACAAAATTGACTGCTGGTGACGGGGGGTTTTCTTCCCCCCATCTCAAAACAGTCACAACGAAAAGCCTCCATTAACCATGGTTTTTCATTTTGAAGGCTCTTTGCAAGAAAAAGCTACCATTTAAGCAGGGAAAATAAGCAAGCATAGGTCTCCAGTCATTCTCTGCCCTTTAATGGTCAGACCTTCAGAAGAGCTCAGCAACCCACATTGTTCTCACTTTAGGGGGATTCTCCATTGTTCTCAATGGGAACTGCTAGGTAGAAAGCTCTTGAAAATTTGAACCATATAGTCTGCCAGAACCCAGATCCCCAATTCAATGAAGTTTCCCAAATATACCTTTCCCCATGTAAAAGATTGGTCACATGCAAAAACTGTTACTGAGATCTTTCAAATACATTTTAGGGTAAGTTATTTTTGAGGTATAATATGACAGAAAAGCATTAGGAATTCTGACTGAGTCACCTCAGACTGGGGCAACAAGTTCCATGCTGGCCACATATCGTATGTGAACACTGACCTCTGAGGATTTGAGAGGTGGCCAAAAAGCAGGTCTTTGATGTAAAGCAAGTCTCAGCCTTAGCAACAGAGAATCAACTAACTAAGTCTCCATAGCTAGCCCCACACTGTACTCTTTAAAAGGGTTCAAAAGAGAGTAGCTAGAAAAATAATGCTGCAGATACATTACCATTCCCATGGCTCCATCAGGCATCATAGCTCCAGGACCAGCTGCAGGAGGTGCGCCAGCTGGGACAGGGGTGGCACCCATAGCTCCTCTATTGTTCATGCCTATGGCACCTGCAAGAGAGATCTGAAGAATATTCCCAGCATACACAAAAGGGAATTGGAGGACATGTCTCCCAGTAGTGAGACGACCTATGCAAGTTTCCTGCTGTGTTCTACCCCAGAGAGGGAGTCCTAACAAGTCAGGCTGCCTTGCATTTATCAGATACAATAGTGAACCAAGCCTAGCTACCCTTGCACTCAAAACTCAAATCAACCCAAAAAGCACAGATAGCTGACGGCCATCAAGATCACATTTCAGTATCTATTAACCATACAATACTCCTTTTTTCACTGATTTCTGCCCAAGTGGTCTAAAACTGCAGATTGTGAACTAGAAATATGGAAATACAATCAATGGGTCATACTTATTACCCATCTGACCTTTTTGTTTGCTGAGCTCAGCATCTCTCTCTGCATGTTTTACCTATTCCTAAATTAGACACAAGTCTCCTTGGGAAATCTTAATTCCATTTGGGCTCTACCTATAATTTCACCTGAAACTTCTGCTTACTGAGCTAAGCCTTCTGCAGACATACCTTTCTACCTAAAGTAATTTCATTACTGTATCACACCAAATACTTCTCACTTTGCATGCTGTGAACTGTCACGTGCTTTAAATAAACTTTATATAAACTTAAGAGAAACAGACATCATTGGAAAGTTATTTACAGCAAGTTTTAAGTGCACTAAATATGGAATTAGCAAAATGAAACACTCCAAGAGCAGGTCCAGTGTCTGCAGACAGGGGAACTGAACACGGAGAGAAACAGAGAAGACAGATAACCACAGGCAGCTCTTACCTCCCATGCCCATCTGTCCCATACGCATATCCGGTGGCTCCCTCTGAAAGAGAGACTTATTTCACACCACATCGTTTAAGACATTCTCTAATATAACAAACCCAGAGAGCTTCAGTAGACTTTATCATTGAAGACTGGATAGAAAAGTCACTCCCTAGGAAAAGTTGCGAAGGAAAATGAACCATCCACTTCACTATTCACTGCTGAACAAATAAGATCTCAATTTAAAGGTGTAATTCTGCAGTATAGTTAGCCACCTGCATTGTAAAACATCCAACAGAAGCAAAGCACTGTGCAAATTTAAAGCACAAGTGTTGGTATACAGAGATGTCTGACGCCTAGGTAGAGAGATCTGACGTTAGCTGCTCAGACTACTGCTAACAATAGGTGAAATTCGCTCTACTACTTCACCAAGGTCAGGAAACAGCATACTTTAAAAAAGGAATACAGATGCTTTTCCTATTAGCCTAGGCTAGTGAGCACAAAAAGGAGCTGTTCTGCTTCAAAGCCAGCAGTGCCCCCTTACCCCAAGAGCAGTCCCACTTCTTCACAAGAACCAGCTAGCCAGTTTCACTTTCCTTCATTTGTATGTCTAGGACAGCTATTTATTATTTGAATTGCAGTAGCACTTAGAGGCCCCGATCAGGGCTCCGTTGTGCTGGGAACTAGGCACATAGTTTAGGCCTGATCTACACAGTTTCTGTACAGGATTTAACTATTTCAGTTAGGGGATGATTTTGTACAGATAAATCAGGATACCCTCTAGTGTGGATACAGTTACGCCACCTTTATACCAGTATAAGTGAATCTATTTTAGATGGCTGCATCAGTTTCAAAAAAAAAAAAAAAAAAGAGTTAAAGCAGTTCAAAAATGGAGATAATGCCATAGAGACCATCTCTACTCCAAGGAGCTTACATCTAATGATATGACAAAACAACAGGGGGAGATAAATGTGAGAGAACATTGGTGTGTAATCACTGGGCTTCAGAGTCAACATTAAGGAGATCAGTGTGGGTCAAGGAAATTCACAATCACGGTTTCAAACTGTATGCAGCCTCAGGAAGACAGTACTGCATCAGCCATGCTGTTTACATTTGGAAAGTTTTCTTCACAACCAAAAAGGATAGAAACATCAAAAAAACCTGGATGTCATGTAGGCCACAAATACTTCAATCGGGATGCATACAGTCCACTTGCCATATATGACACCACTGCTTTCCACCGTGTGAAAGCAGATGCCAAGCTATTAGTATACGGCACTGTTTACAATTTCTAGCTCCCATGGTTCGAGGTGGCAGCTGTTACAGCATCAGAAATAAAACAGATTAAAAGCAAGGTGGTTTCTGAAATGAGATTTTAAGAGCTGATCTTGCAAACTGCCAGAGATAGAAATGAGTGAATTCCCAATAGTATTGTTTTTAGCCCTACTGAACTGTGAAAAATGTGGCCTTAAAATTAGAGCTACTGGTATCAAGAAATCAGTAATTAGAGACGTTTGCCATTCTAACAGTTGGGGAACTGCAGTACCCAATATCATTGTGTGGTAACTTAACAAGTACTGATTTTTAATGGCAACCACGTTGTCATACCTAAAGTGGTCCCTAAACTCAGCAATGTTTAGACAAACTGCCAAGACAGGATGCAGCAGTCTTCAGGCCAATGTTATTGTGGCCTGGCACGTGACTCCTTGTGGGGCTCTGCAGAGATCTTCATGAAGGAAATTTTCAATCACTGCTCCAAGAATAGGACCTGTTAGCATGTGCTCTGCTGCAAAGTAAGACTGACACACTGTGGTCCTACATGGACAGCAGCAGGAAAGTGAGTTCCCATGAACAACTGGATTTCCATACGTATAGTCTCAGACAAAACTGCATTGGGGTGAAGTTATGACAGAGCACATACCAGTAACATAGGGTAAATTACATTAGAGATGTTGTAATTATCCCAAAGCCAATCATTAAAAACACCCCCAAGCCCACCTGAAATTAAAGATTAAACAAAAAAAATGGAAACACAGTTAAGGCACTCGAACAATCTTAATTCTGCCTGTAGTGAGACCATGCAATAACCACGAGTATGGTTAATTTTAGTATTTGTGATCCTCAACAAGATTAAAATTGATTTGTAAAAACGCAGTCCCATCCCCATCTTATTGTGTTACTTGTACCTCCATACAGAGGTACTCTTCTAGAGAAAAATATATGCCCAGTCATATTCTGATCAACAGAAATCCTGCCCTGTCTCTGGACAACTATCCTTCTGACAGAAGCCACATATGAATCAAAAGGTAGGAGAACTCATACCGCATCAGCAAAGTTCCCTTTAAAGCCCTCTTGCTGGCGTCTCATCATCTCCTCCTGCTGCCGCCTCATCTCCTCCTCACGGCGCCTGCGTTCTTCCTCCTGCCTGCAAGGAAAGGACTCCAGAGTCACTCAGCACGACATAAGCAGATTCTGTATCACAGGGGCGAAGTGCTACATGGTAGGCATTTGTCAGCAGTAAAGATGACACTGTTCTTCCAGACAAGTACAGCATTAAGCTCTTCAATATGATAAATTTCTAGAACTCATGAAAACTACCATTATTTCTAATCCCTTTCAATTCTAGTGATCTTATCAGAAAAAAATCTCAGTCAGAGAATACGCTACGCTTTGAAACAAATGCTATCCATATGTAATCAGGAAACATTAGCCAAGTCGTTCTCAAACTGTGCTCTGAAAAGAACTGGTCTGAAGATCTTCCTAGTGGCCTACAGAATTACCTTGAGAACCAGGCAGTAAGACCATAAAGGAGTTGAGAGAGAGGAGAGAGATTCTCATAGATCCTTAAGTGACAGGAAGAATGAAAAGGCTGCAGCTAGGGCAAGGATTTTCCCCACCTACAGCGCTCGAGCAATCGAGGTTGCTGCAAAGACACCTGGCTTTTGTATATACATCTGAAAGCCAAGCAGTAAGAATCCAAACCTGAGTCTATCAGTGAAAAAACAAGAACTAGTCAGTGTACTTCAAGGTCACGGGCATACACCATAAACAATACTGCACCCTAAACCTACTGTAAATTTTGCTTATGGATGAAGATGACCCAACGTTTGGAAATTATATTGTTAAATTGTGTGTCCAACTGCTTTGGATAATGCCCTAGCCCCAGTCTAAGGGGATGCATTTAATTCACAGCAATATGAGTGGCCAGAACCTCCCTTTACCTGAGCTCCAGCTGTTTACGTTTCTGCACTTCTTGGTTATGCAGTTCCTCCATTCTCCTTAGTTCTTCCTGGCGTCTCATTAAATCTGGAAGAGGTGACAGTAGAAGCCAATCACTGGGCCAATTGTCATTCCCTCTGCGGGCTGCTAGGTGACCAGACTAACATTACCTCCCCCCACTTCCATACCTGAACCTCAACTTACCAGTTAGTTTCCACACCAGGGGGTTGCACCTTCGTAGTTTTTCTAGCCTGAGCTCATTGTGCACACCAGGGGCTCCTTGCATTCCTCCACCCTTCCCCACAAAGTCCCTGGGTGCTACCCTTACATCCCCCTTTATTATAGTGACTCCATGCAACTGCCTGCACTCCTTCCTTCATGACGGGGTTCTGTGTGGACCCCCCCATTCCTTCCTTCCCCCATACCAGGGTCCCATATTCCCTCCCTGCATGCCAGAAGTTCCCCATTTCTTCTCCTCCCATGCCAGCAGCTCTGTATGCATGCCATTTCCACTTCCCTCCACGTCCTCTTTTCCCCAGGACAGGGGTTCTGTGTGCCCTCATACTATGGTCCCCAAATCTCTCTATGGTGGGAATCCTGTGTGCCCCTAGTTCCCCCTATGCCAGGGGCTGTCTGCCTCTCATTTTCTCCCCTCCCCCTTGCTGGATCTGCGTTCCCCCTACCCCATGCCAGGATACCACAATTTTTCCTGGACTGCCAGGGTTCTGTGCATCTCCCATTCCATGGGCTGTGTACATGCTTCAATTTTCCTTCTCCCCCCTTTCCCCTTATTATTTGTCTGGGAGATAAGTCATTCAGGCTATCAACATGTTAAACTCTACTGGAAGGGCACGCAGAGATGAGAGACAAATATTTGGTTATGCTGGAAAGTGTGAATGAGTGCCATTCAACCAATCTAATCTATGAACAACTGCAGAAGTGCTTGAAGCTGTGGCTCTGCTAAACAGATAGGAAGGGCTCTGTGTCCCCCGCATTTCACTTTTCCAATTTCCCCCAAAATCGGTAGGGTTCTCACCACTGATACCTAGGACATTCCCTGGGATTTTGAAATTGATCAGAGGCAGCATTCACAAGTTATTGCTTTACAGACATACACAAAGAAATGTCATCAAGTTAAGCGTATGATCAACTAAGACTCTATAGCTGCCATCCTACAGAAGATAGCAGAACAGAAGCTTGTTATACTGTACAGCAGATCTATTTAGACAACGACTATCTGGCAAGCTATCAGTCAGACATCCATCCCCAGGCCCATCTCCAGCCAACACTAGTCTGGTTACTGTGCTAGACACTCCCAGTTTTACGAAGAAATTGTAAGAGTGGTCTTTGATGAAGTTGGCTCTCACCTTGCCTCATGAGCATAACTTGGTGCTCATGGCGAGCTGCTTCCATCTCCATTTCCAGCTTCTCTCTTGCTTCCTTGATGTTGCGGTCCACCTGTTCTTGCTGCTGCTTTTCCATTTCTATTAGAGCCTTCCAGCGCATGGCATACTCATACTCAAAAGAGCCAGGCTGTGCAAACCTAGGAGGCTGTTCACGCTCCCTGAGGGAGGAGTGGAAGACAAGAAAACTTGAGCAAAGCCAACGTGGAAAATAAAGATTCATACAAATGAAATATGAGAGATTCTAATTAACACCTACGAAGGGGAGAGATCAATAACGCACTTAGAATATCTTATCCAAGAAGCTGCCATCTTGCCAGTTTGACACAGAAATAGAATTCTCACTGCAATAAATGGGAAGCTGCTCTTTCTGCATCTTCCTGTTTTCTAGCAGAGGACCCTATCTGAAGCACTGGCATATCTCCCCAGAAAAGACCTGTCCAATTCATTGAAGGAAGAAACTAAAAGGTAATCCTAATTACTCTCCGCCCTTCACCCACCCACCCAACTCTCTAGTGTAGGGGCAACTACTTATGAAAACTTCAGCTGCCTGAACAGGGGTGGTGCTTTCTAGAGGCATGCCTAAGTTAGTAAAGAAACACATATTTAGGATTAGGAGAAGAGAGAAATGTACTAAGGCAATAAGAAGAGCCTTTTACTAGCTTGTGAGGATGCATTCTCCCAAAGATTAAGACACCAATCTCTTGAATGGTCCACCACTAACACCCCTCTTCCTTCCCTAGTGGACACGTACTTGTGAAACTGCTGGTTTTTGATGACCAGTTTCTCTGGCAGTCCCTCCTCATCATCATACTGATCCATTGGCTCCACGGTGACAGGCCGAGGGAATCTGGAAAGAAAAGAGGCCACACAATTTCAGTGTTACCTAGACAATGGCTGCACTGCAGGCCAGCTTCTGTGTGTGTCTTAATTCTAGCTGGAGCTATAAAATACTGCTCTCTCTTTACCAATGAAGTTTCAGAACAACAGATCCTAAGAAAACCATCTAAGACAATTTTCAGAGTAGCAGCTGTGTTAGTCTACAGCCACAAAAAGAAAAGGAGTACTTGTGGCACCTTAGAGATTAACAAATTTATTTGAGCATAAGCTTTCATGAGCTACAGCTCATTTCATCGGATGCTAAGACAAAGACAGCCAGAATACAAGTGAAAGCCATCTTCACACCCAAGTTATATATTGGTACTGTCTGGGTTTTGAGCGTGACTTGTTTGAAATTGCTTCCACAATCCCTTAAGAACATAACGGCCATACTGGATCACACCAAAGTTCCATCTAGCCCAGTATCCTGTCTTCCGATACTGGCCACTGCCAGGGTGCCCCAGAAGGAATGAACAGGTAATCAAGTGATCCATTCCCTGTTGCTCATTCCCAGCTTCTGGCAGACGCTAGGGACACTATCCCTGCCCATCCTGGCTATCAGCTATTGATGGACCTATCCTCCGTGAATTTATCTAGTTCTTTTTTGAACCTTGTTATAGTCTTGACCTTCACAACATCCTCTGGCAAAGAGTTCCACAGGTTGACTGTGCATTGTGTGAAGAAATACTTCCTTTTGTTTGTTTTAAACCTGCTGCCTATTAACTTCATTTGGTGACAGCTAGTTCTCGTGTTCTTTCTTTAAGACAGCTACTTCTGAGTCCCGAATCAGCCAATGATAGTTACTAAACAAAGACGTGATACAAGTGAAGATTTCCAAACAGTCTGGGCAGAGTCCAAAGACCCTCCAATTGTAGCCCAGCTATAGTGCACCGTTGGCCAGTCCCAGACACACACTGGAGAGGCTAGCACAGAAGAAAAGAAAAGACTGAACAGAACTGAGCTGCTTTCTGAAGTTGAAGGTGTTTGTGTACTGATCTCAGAGTATCCTAGCAATGGAATGAAAGGTGCCATCTCCAAATCTTCTGGAACAAGGCAAGGTATAGCAGGGACGATGGTAGTGAGGGAATAGGAGCAGCAATAAAATGTTACTTAGAAGAGTAAGTGGATTATAAATCAAACACAATATATCCTAGGCTTTAATAACTGCTGTTACCAAAATAACTTTTTTTTTTTAAAAAAAAAACCGCCCAAAGGGCGGGGGAGAGAGAAAAAACAGTCAGTTCAGCACTCCCCCAAATAGCAACCCAACCTAACCAAAAGCATTGGAGCGATGGGCCTTGTACCATACATAACTGGTCCGACTCACTGGCTGTTGGGACCAATGGGGCAAAGAACATTTCAGATTTAGTTCCACTCTTAAGAATGCACAGTCATTCCCAGAAGGACATTGAACTCTGCAGACCTGCTAGGTGCCCCTCGAATACTCAAGCATGGAGGCTAGTGTGCTGCAGCCAGAACAAACGAATGAATGCATGGACACACACAATCTAGCCATTTAAACAACAAACTGAATCTATGCCTGCTGACAGGATTGAGTGCAACATTCTATCACAAAAGTACCCACTGCAAAACAAAAGCCCATTTTCATAATCAATTCTAGGGTGATCCAGACCGCACAGTTAACATACACAAGCTTTATTCACTTGCCAGCAATACTTTAACAGGGGAGGAATAGCTTCTTCTTCTTCAGGACTACCTGAACTGCCCAAAGGCGGCTTTGTCTATGAGGAACCTCAACAGCAGCAGTTCCCAGATTAGCACACTCAATCCCATGGACAGCCTCCAGGAAGCAAGATGGTTTTGAACATAAGCCTGTGCACAGATTTATTCTAACATGGCCCAGATATGAGACAGGAAGTTTGTCATTATAGAACTTACGTTTAAGTACATAGTGCCTTCTGCCCCATACCACACATAGCCCCACTCTAGTGTTAAAGCACCAGTGTTTCACAAGCCAGCACCCGCCTGGCCAAGCTGTGCACTTTCCAGAACAGCACTTCTCACCCTCCTCACTTACGTGGTTAGCAGGAAAGACCCTTCACTACATCTGTCCAGAGCTTTCCTAGCAGCAGGTTTCCCTGAAAACTCCACAATGCCTTTCCCAGACGATCTTCCTCTGTCATCCACAATAACCACAGCCCTTTCCACCTGGCCGAACACAGAGAAGGCTTCCTCCAAGAGCTCATTTGACACAAATTGAGGCAGGTTTCTGACAGTCAGTGATGCACTGTGGCATGCAAAGCGCACTCTTAGTTGCTTCCCACGGAGAGGCATGTTGTCTAGTTCTACCTTTGCAATCTCGGCTAGAGTGCGAGTTTCCTGAAGACAAGAAAAGTTATCATTAAAACTTGCAATGCAGTATGGAAACATGTTTCCTGCCACAGAAGCAGAGGACAGGGTCACTAGCCTATCTTTCCCTGGACTAGCAATACAGCAAGAAGAACAAAACTCTTTGTACCACAAAGGATGCCTTAGTAATGTTTGTAATAAAATAAAGTCTTCTGACCATTATCCAAGGTGCCTGTTAAACTAGTTCAGGGAGCACATGTTAAGTTTGGGGAGAGAAGATAAAAAGAAAGCAGACAACATCAGGTACAAAACTTAAAAGGAATGTTGCAAGGATTACAGACTGCAGCTAGGAGTTAATATTAGTTAAGCACACATCAATGAATAGCACTAGGATCACAGTGAGAACTGTTACTTTCCTAATTCTTCCCAGTAATCTAGTCTGATGATTGACACAGGAACTACTCAGTATTTGAAAGTACAAGAAAGGCAGGAGTCTTTCAAAATCTTAAGATCCATTACCTGACTAATGACTTATTGGAAAATATGCAAACTTGTATTAAATACTCATCTCCATAGTACTTTAAAAAGCTTTCAGCTTCTCACCATGCTGCCCATCTTGTATTTCAAGACAAGAAAGTGTCAAGATGGTTCCTTCCTGTTTCTTGATGTTCAATATAAGCAAAACACTTGTATGGGACTTAAAATATAGGTTTTGTCACAAGAACAGCTGTTACCCCAGTTTTACATCTTCCTTTCCTAAATAGGATGCCAAGACAATAGTTTGGAGGATGGGCAAGACCTTATTCCCATGTCTGAAGCAACTGTCTTGAAATAAATTAAGTATCCTTGTTTAATCCATATAACTGCAAGGCAGCTAACCTGCTGTATAATTCAAAATATTAAAAATCTAAGAACCAATTGGTTCCAATGTATCCCATACTTCAGATCACCAGAATTAATTTTAAACATCTATGTGAAGATACCAACTCGATTAGCAAAATATGTGAACAAGGTTACTATTTCCAATAAGCACCACTCTCCTAATGTCAGAGCGCTAACACAGGACACCCCAAAGGAAGCAATAATGACTCACCAGCCTGATAAATCCAAAGCCTTTGTCCTTGTGTATGAAGACTTCACCTGCCTTCCCATACTTTTCAAACAACTTTCTCATCTCCTCCTCAGTAATATCTGGGGGCAGGTTCCCCACAAAGAGGCGGCTCCTCTGGGTGAATGTCTTTTCACCAGGTTTCCGGAAATTCTTCAGGTCAATAGTGAGGCCTTCATCTGAGGGGAATAAGGTACACAGTCGCTCTACAATTGGGGGGATAAATTCCACTATGTTACATCACAGCGAGCATAAAGACAAACAACAATAGCTAACTCCACCCACTCACCCAAGTCTCAAACATCTCCAACCAATTCCATAGCAACAAGGAGACAGTATTTCAGCATAGGCCAACATTCTGATGAAAGACGAAGTTTGCAGGAACTGTACTGCTTCGTAACAAGGCATCGGCCACTATGTGAGGGAGAGCCCAAAGCGGGAAGTAGGGACCTTGGAAGAATGCAGCAGCCTTCCTAACTTGACTACTGCGTCAAAAGATGCTTAGCAACTCTTACTGTGGACTATGTTTGACACATGGACTTCAAGACCACAGCTTAGCTATCTACAAAAAAGCTGCAGTGTCATAGGCTGCTAGAGGATTATCATCCTGGAATGAATTCAGAACTCAACAGTGATTCAGAAAAAACAAAAACAAAAAACACACAATCAAAAGATACTTACATTAATTAGTCTTGCCTAGTACAACAGATGCACAAGGGGGAAAAAGCAGATAACATTTCAGCCACCTACAGCCTGGGAATGCACTAGAAAGATTCTGGAACCCAGACCCTATCTCCAAGCTGGAGAGAAAGCAGCTGGAAGCTATAAAGCAGCAATATGGATGGGACCTCAGAAAAGTCAGCAAAGTTAGTCACGAAGTCTACAGTCAAGTAACACTCAGTGGCTAAAACAGAACCAAAAAGCCAGCAAATTAATGATAAATCATAAAAATATAGTGAGGCAGGGAGTAAGAAAGTGCAGACACTACAATGGTGGAAAAAAATATGGGAAATGCTCAGGTTTATGGTCTCAAGCAATAATCACAAAAATGGTATTTTGAGATGACCCATAAGAAGCATGAATAGAGACTTGATCAGTATGCATCCGATGAAGTGAGCCGTAGCTCACGAAAGCTTATGCTCAAATAAATTGGTTAGTCTCTAAGGTGCCACAAGTACTCCTTTTCTTTTTGATCTCCCATTGTCACTCTATTTAGTTTTTAATGGGTGAGACTAGAATGCAAGGGTAAAATTATCCCACTCTAGTAGGGAGAAGGCTGGCCAACCACTTTATCACACACTCAACTTGAGCAGCTCTATTTTTTATGACAGGTTTCAGAGGAACAGCCGTGTTAGTCTGTATTCGCAAAAAGAAAAGGAGGACTTGTGGCACCTTAGAGACTAACCAATTTATTTGAGCATGAGCTTTCGTGAGCTACAGCTCACTTCATCAGATGTATACCGTGGAAACTGTATACATCTGATGAAGTGAGCTGTAGCTCACGAAAGCTCATACTCAAATAAATTGGTTAGTCTCTAAGGTGCCACAAGTCCTCCTTTTCTATTTTTTATAACACTTATGTAGTAGATTCCACATTCAAAGCAAAACATAACTATCAAATTAACTGATTCATCAATGTAACCAGACACACTCCCCAGTCATCCATGAATGGCAGCTTCAGACCCTCACCACTACATGCTTCTGAACCATTAAGTTAGATCTGTTAAGGCCCCAAAGGTCATTAAACCCCACTTCTTCAGCTCAAGATCACCATCACCAAAACCCAACAATTCCATAGAGCTCCAGCCCATATTGAACAAGGGTACATGTCAGTGGATTGGACTTACTGGCACAAAAACCCTCACTGGTATGATTGGCCCTCTGATGCTGGAGTATCAAGCAGCCAAGTCAGGAGATCACCTTGCTCAGAAGTTTCAAACTGATGTGTGATTCGATTTGATTTGTGATTAGGGAACCCTATAACAACCTTCCTATTAGAACTGCATCTATGCAGACAGCAATTCTATCCCACCATTACCTAGGAAGGACTGTGCTAGGTGGTCCTCTGGTACAGCTTTGGGAAGAAGGGTGAGGGTGAGAGAAAAGGAGGAAAGAGTGCCAGTCACAGACAAGCCACCTCTTTCTTGTAAAATCCACAGTGGTGACACTGGAGGATTGGAGAGATTTGCAGTCCTCTGGGCAGTTAGATTTACTGGAAGATCCTATAAGCAGCAAGGAAGAAATCTTCAAACGTGCACATTAATGGCCTGATTCAGAAGCACTCAGCCCCAAAAATCTCAATGAAACCTTTGGGAGCAACCAGCATTCAACATATTTGAAAGTCAGGCCATAAGAGCAGAACTGAACTGACTGAAAGCGTAATCTTGAACGCAATCTCCTCTTCTTACAGATTTAGTAAAAAGCTCTGCTTTCATACCAAAAAGAACGAATACAAGTGGGTTATTCATGGGGCAAGGATTGGCAATAAAAAAATCCAGAGGAACTTGACAGCAGAAGAGGATCTAAACTAATCCTTTCTCATGGGATATCAGATCATCTCAAACAGGGAAAGAACCTGTGACAGTTTAAAGTGAAACTTAAGTCAGGGCTTATGCGGATGGCACTTTGGCAGCCCAGAGGGCTACAACAACCAAGATGGACTTGTGTAATCTACTCACTCTGGCTGTTGACCTGCTGTCCATTAGCAGGAATAGGTGGTTGTTGATGCTGATGCTGTTTTCTTGGAGCATGGTTCTGCTTCTCCATGTTAAAGCCTTTATTGCCTTGCATTTTTCCAACCTGAGAGCAAATACATCATTGGTTATATATCCTCAATGTACAAACCAGCAACCGCCAATGCACACAACACTACAGCTACTTTCCTGGGCACAACCACAGAGATAATCATCAGAACAGAAGCATTTCCAGTCTCTGCAACTCCAGACACCTGGGGGAAACAGACAATATGAGGGAAAGTGCAATTTGAACATAGTACATCTGATTCGAATTAACCTGTGTAGCCAATGAAATTTCCAACTAAAGTGCTCTTTCTGACCTACTAGCCACATAAATACTACAAAACCAAGAAGAGATCCTCCTTTAAGGGAAAAGTTAACTTAAAATCTAGTTGGTTTTAAGTCCTGCATTCGAGTCCTAATGCCAACCAATGTAGTTATATTTTCCTATTTAAGATAATTTCTCTCATGTTGCTATGTGAAAGAACCACATACACAGGGGAAAGTGCAATACACGTGAAGCACTCTCAAATTCAAAAAGAAAACAAAAAACTCTCTTAAGCATTCAGTTCTAAGAAGATGTATTCCCTGTAACAGTAGCAAGTAAAAGAATTCAGGCAAGGGTGATTTTATGTTAACCATGTCCCTTTTTTAAATACATCAGAAGCAGAAAGCATGCTAAACAACCAGTGGGGCCACTGAACAATAGAGATGCTAAAGGAGTACTCAAGGATGATAAGACCATTGTGGAGAAACTAAGGGCATGTCTTCAACGGCAACGTTAAAGTGCTGCTTGTGTAGTTGCAGCATAGCACTGGGAGAGAGCTCTCCCAGCGCTTTAAAAAACCCACCTCCAAAAGGGGAATAGCTCCCAGCACTGGGAGCACGTCTCCCAGCACTGGTGCACTGTCTACACTGGAACTTTACAGCACTGAAACTTGCAGCGCTCAGGGGTGTGTTTTTTCACACCCCTAAGCGAGAAAGTTGCAGCGCTGTAAAATGCCAGTGTAGACACACCCTAAATGAATTATTTGCATCAGTCTTCAAGGCTGAGGATGTGAAGGATATTCCTAAACCTGAGCCATTCTTTTTAGGTGACAAATCTGACGAAATGTCCCAGATTGAGGTGTCATTAGAGAAGGTTCTGGAATAAATTGATAAACTAAAAAGTAATAAGTCACCAGGATCAGATGGTATTCACCCAAGAGCTATGAATGTACTCAAATGTGAAATTGAAGAACTGCTAATTGTGGTATGTAACCTATCATTTAAATCAGCTTCTGTACCAGATGACTGGAGGATAGATAACATGACACCAATTTTTAAAAAAGGCTCCAGAGGCGATCCTGGCGATTACTTCAGTACTGGGCAAACTAGTTGAAACTATAGTAAAGAACAGGAATGTCAGACACCTAGATGAACATGATTTGTTGGGGAAGGGTCAACCTGGTTTTTGAAAAAGGAAGTCATGTCTCACCAATCCACTACAATTCTCTGAGGGGGTCAACAAGCATGTACACAAGGGGATCCAGTAGATATAGTGTACTCAGATTTTCAGAAAGATTTTGACAAGGTCCCTCACCAAAGGCTCATAAGCTAAGTAAGCTGTCATGGGATAAGAGGGAAGGTCCTTTCATGGATCAGTAACTAGTTAAAAGACAGGAAACAAAGGGTAGGGATAAATGGTCAGTTTTCACAATGGAGAAAGGTAAAATAGTGGTGTCCCCCGGGGTCTGTACCAGGATCAGTCCTATTCAATATATTCATAAATTATCTGGAAAAATTGGTAAACAATGAGGTGGCAAAATATGCAGATGAAACAAAACCAATTAAGTCCAACGCAGACTGCAAAGAGTTACAAAGAAATCTCACAAAACTGGATGGACTGGGCAACAAAATGGCAGATGAAATTCAATGTTGAAAAATACAAATTAATGCACATCGGAAAACATAACCATACACATAAAATGATGGGGTCCAAATTAGCTGTTACCATTCAAGAAAGATCTTGGGAGTCATTGTGGATAGGTCTCTGAAAACATCCACTCAGTGTGCATCGGCAGTCAAAAAAGCTAACAGAATGTTGGGAATCATTAAGAAAGGAATAGATAAGATGACAAAAAATATCATGTCGCCTCTATATAAATCCATGGTACGCCCACATCTTGAATACTGGATGCAGGTGTGGTCAGGCCATCTCAAAAAAGATATATTGGAATTGGAAAGATTTGAAAAAGGGAAAGAAAAATGATTAGGGGTATGGAACAGCTTCCATATGAGGACAGATTAATAAGAGTAGGACTTTTCAGCTTGGAAAAGAGACAACTAAGGGGGGGATATGATAAAGGTCTATAAATGATGGGTGTGGAGAAAGTAAATAAGGAAGTGTTATTTACTCCTTCTCATAACACACAAATGGGTCATCAAATGAAATTAGGTTAATTAGGCAAAACAAAAGGAAGTATTTTTTCACACCATGTAGAGTCAACCTGTGGAACTCTTTGCTAAAGGATACTGTGAGGCCCAAAACTATAACAGGGTTCAAAAAAGAACTAGATAAATTCATGATGGATAGGTCCATCAATGGCTATTAACCAAGATGGGCAGGGATGGTGTCCCTAGCCTCTGTTTGTGTTTGTCAGAAGCTGGGAATGGGCCACAGAGGATGGATCACTTGATGATTACCTGTTCTGTTCATTCCCTCTGAAGTACCTGGCATTGGCCACTGTCAGACAACAGGATACTGGGCTAGACTGACCTCTGATCTGACAGAGCATGGCCACTCTTATTTTATATATATTATGTTTAGTGGCTGTTGTTTTGATGGTTACTAGAACTTTTATAAGACCATCAGACTTAAAAAAACAACAACCAGAAACAGAAATATGTCCCCTGATGATACTGTTTGCTATCAGCATCTGTGCAATCAGCACTGTGTTTAAAAAGCTGCACCATAGTACTTGTCTTATCTTGGGTATCCACATTCCTTTGCCACCAATTACTTCCATACTAAGTTTGTTCCATTTAGAAGTGTTGGAGAGACCTAGATTCCAAGTTGGTCAAAGTGGCTGTAAGGCAACCAGACAAGATATATGTGTAAACCTTACACAGCATGCTCAAACTATGCACTCAGTCAAAAGAAGTTATTTTACTCATGAAGCACCAACACACTGTACCTAGGAGCTGCAGACAGTTCAAATATATACAACAAAAAAAACAATAATACTGGAACTAAAACCTGGTTGGCAGTTTTTAGAATGCATAGGGCAGAATGAATTGCAACTTAAATAATTCTCCCTAGCCAGTGCAGCTACGGAAAGTAAATGTGTCGGGGTGGGGGGGAGTGTCAATGGAGGCAGGAGCGGTGGAGGGCTATGCAAAGCGGTAAGTTTATATGCAATTACCTAAAGAAAGAATGACAAGCGGGGTACTGTGCCTACAAGCAGCACAAGCGGAAGCAATAAAAAAGCAACATGTAATTTGTGAAGCCACCGAGAAGCACTGGCACAAATGAGTCGTTTACTTACAGTTAACCGAGGAGCCACGCAAGAGCAACCGGGGGAAAGCTCGTGGGAGACAAGGAGCGCGAAAACAGGCGGGACTACGGCAGGTTTGCGGCGCACCGAGGGGGAAGAAAAGGGCAAGCGTGGGCGACAGCCAGCGAGGCTGGAGGAGGAGAGCGAAGGGCCGGGCGGGCTGACAGGGCCGCAGCAGCTACCTGGCAGCGAAGGGAAAGGGGGGGGGGGGGGACACACGAGGAAGTTGCACCGGTTTATCCTGAAGGGAGCCTTTGACATGAAGCTGAACCGGTGCCGCTCCGCGTGCGGCCGAGGCCTCCCGCCCGCCCGGCGCGGGCCCGCCCAGAGCCGCTGCTGGAGGCGCGTCAGCCGGACACCGCGGCCTCGCCGCGCGGGCCCACTCGGGCGGAAGGCTGCCGGACCCGCCGGAGCCCGCTGCGCCCGGAGCCCGGGGCGCTCACGGGACGCCCCCGCCTCACCTGCTCCTGGGCCCTCGCTCCCACAACGGATCGCGGCCTTCTCGCCTTCTCGTCGCCTAGAAAAAAAGAGCGCGTGCGGCCGGAAATCGGACAGCCTAACCGGTTACCCAAGGGCCGCCCATGTTGCTGCCCCATTGGCCAATCTTCTCCTCACACTTTCCGTTCAGTGGCTCACAGCAGTGCCAATCACAGAAGGAATGGAGCAGGGCGGGACCAAAGACAAGATCGCGCCTCTATTCGTAGTCTATTGGCTGAGCAGTCTTCGCAGCCCGCGAAACTAGCTGCCACTCATCCCCTCAGGCACCAAGCTTAGATGAGAGGCGAGGTAGGGACAAAGGAACGAACAAGCCAACCCCCGAGCGTGCGCAGGCGCATTGAGATCGGCATCTGCGCAGCGTCCAGAGGGTGGTGCGGCTTAAAGAGACAGCGCCGCGGCCGCCGTCGGGGCTGCTGTCAGTCCGCCGCCGCGGCCCCGCCCGCCCCGAGCCGCGGGGAGCCGGCCCCGGGGGAGGGGGCCCCCCGGTCCCGGAGCTCGCAGGGCAGCGTCGGCCCGCCCCGGCCCTGGCCCTGTGGCGTCAAGCCGCGTGGGGCGCCCTGGCCGCTGGGCTGGAGCGTCGGGGGGCGCCGGGCCGCCGTGGTCCCCGGCCCCGCCTGCCCGGCCCGGCCCGGCCCGGCCCGGCTCTGCCCGGCCCGGCCCCGCCCCGCTCGCTCGCTGGCTGGCTGGCTCTCGGCCGGCCCCTGCCCTGCGGCGTGCAGCGGCTTCGGCTGCCAGGCGGGGTGAAGCCCCGCGGGCTCCTGGGCGGCACCTCGCCCGGGCCCGGGGTCGGCCCCGTCGCTCTCCTCCCGGGCGTTTGCTGCTGGCTCTCGGCCGGCCCCTGCCCGCGGGCTGCCCGGCTCTCCGGCGTCCAGCTCTGCTCTGCAGTGCCCGGGAGCCCATGCCGCTGGGTGGGTGAAGTCAGGGTTTGCTATGTGGATCCTAAATCCCGTTTGTGGATCTAGCTCCCACGTGCCCCGCAGCCAGGGATTAAATACCAGCCTGCCTCGGAGAGCTCATCGTTGAGTGGTAGGCAGCAGGTGCCCCCCACCACAGATACAGAGGATACTAAGGCCAAAAGGAGCCTTGTGTCCATCGAGCCTAACCCGAGTAACGCAGGCCATCTAATGTCACTCAGTATTTCCCACTAGAGCAGATCTTTTTAGAAAAATACCCCGTCTTGATTTAAAGACTCCATGTGATGGAGATTTGACTGCATCCCTTGGCAAAATTATTCTAATAGGTAATTAAATTTGCATCTTATTTCCCATGTGATCTTGTTCTGTCTTTGTCTGCTAGATTCCCTCTATTATCCAGTATTTTCTCCTGTGTTGGTAATTTATAGATCACAATGAAGTAGCTTCTTTGATAAACTAAATAGATTGATTTTAAGTATCCCACTCCTTCCAATCCTCAAATTGCTCTTGTGGCTCTTCTCTGAACCCACTCCAGTTTTTCAGTATTCTTTCTAAAGGATGCACCCACCAGTAGTTGACACAGCAGTCCAGTAACAATCTCCCCAGTGTGGTATGCAGGGGTACTGTAACCTCCCTACTCCCCTGCTGTATACCCCCCTGTTTACACATCCAAGGACTGTGTTAGTCCTTTTTGCTACAGCTTTGCTCTGGAAGTTCATAATCAGCTGGTTACTTACAGTGGCCCCCTACATTATTTTTGATGTCACTGTGTTCCAGGGTACAGTCCCTGACCCTGAAAGTGTGACCTAAATTCTGTGTTCTAAATGTAAGACCTTGTGTTTGGAAATATTGGTAGAGGATTGCATGCTTTTTAGTTTCTGTAGGCCAAGTACATTGCATACATTGGGAGCTCCTATTAGCATCCTTCATTCTCCCTGTCCCCAAGATCTGTGGGTGGGTGTCACCCTCCCATCCCCCTCTATTTCAGGAGCTTGCTGCAACTTCCCACAATCTCCCTCCAACTAGGCATTCTGTGTGACTACCATTGCAGGGCCTTCCATTCTTCTCCTCACGGAAGCGTGTCTGTGTGTGTTCCATTACTCTCATTCCCTTATGCCCCCCATTTCTCCTGTTCCAGGGTCTTTCAGTCTTCCCCAGCCAGGGATGCTATGTGCCCTCATTCCCTTTTCCCCCACCATGCCAGGGGCTCTGCATGGCCCCTTTTTTCCATTCCAGGGTCCCCCATTCTTCCCCTGTGTCAGGGACTCTGTGTGAAATCTCATTAGCCTCTTCCCCCATTTCCCCTTTTCCTGCATGACAAGGTTTTTGTCTTTCCCTCATGCCATGGGTTCTGTGTGACCCCTTTCCCCACACCCAGGTCCCCCAGTCTCTGCCCGAGTGGCTTTGTGTACTCCATTTTCCCCTTCCCCCATACCAGGATCCTCATTCTTTCCTCCCTCATGCCAGGGGCTGTGTTCACACCACGGCACCCCATATTCCCTCATGGTTGTTCTTTCTGCCTGGGAGACTAACATTTTGACATCCTGAATGATTTAACTCTGTTCGGAGGATACACAGCAGTGAAATAGGAGTACTGTTATGCTGGAAGGCATTAATGGGTGCCATCAACCAGTGGTTTGATCTATAGACCATTGCACAGGTGCTTGCATCAGTTGGCTGTGCTAAAAAGCTAACAGGAGCTTTGTATCTCCCCCATTTTTCTGATTTTTCCCAAAAAAGTCAATAGTTTTGGCTATTGATGCCTAGAGCATTCCCTGAAATTTTGGAATTGATTGTGTTACAGAAAGAGAAATGCTGAGTGTGAAAACTTCACAAGCTCAGTCAGAAACACATGTAGTTTGATTGCATCCTGTTTACAAGTGATCCAGATTGTTCTGAAACGGTGATCTGTCCCCCTCATTTACTAATCCACCAACCTTAGTCTCATCTGAAACTTTATCAATTATTTTATATTATAGATCATTGATTAAAAATATTAAATAGCATTGGGCCAAGAACTAAGGCCTGAGCAACCCCCAGTTGATAATAGTTAATGAACAGGTATGTTTTTATATTTATCTGTTAGCTCTGAATATATTCAATATGACCCATGTTGATTTTGTTTAGTGCTTGTTTTTAATCAGAATGTTGCACAGTACTTAGCTGCTTTGCAAAAGTGCTATCAGTACTATTACCTTTATTAACCAGATTTGTAATCTTGTCTGGTTGCGGGCACAGTTGTTTTTGTTGTTGTTTTTCGGGCCTGGGGGTAGAGTGTTCCACAGGATACCAGTGGGTACAGTTAATAGGGAAGGTGATGAGGTTACACAATCTGGCTGGGGACAGAGGTTGCACAGTTAGTGGGGAGGGGAGCAAAGGTGACAGTAGTGGGAATACAGTTCAGCTCAGGGAAACCCTCTTAGGGCCTGCAGCAGCAGGATAGGAGATGGGTGGAGGGGAAGCAACTGGAAAACACAGGTAAGGAAATGGGTGTGTTTTCAACCAAAAAATTTTAAGACCTGGTCAACAGCTGAAATTTCTACTGGTGTAACTATTTTGGTTATGGATGTGACTTATATAATTATTTTGCTAACAAGTAAAAGCCTACTCTATATTCAGTTAAACCACTGTAAAGCATAGGCACCGACTCTGTGGGTGCTCAGGGGCTGGAGCACCCACGGGGAACAATTAGCAGGTGCTCTGCACCCACTGGCAGCCAAGCTCCCCCCTCCTTGCCTCCTTCTCTCCCACCTGAGCGTGCCGCGTCCCCCCCCTCTTCCCCCTCCTGTCCAGCGCTTCCCGCCCCCCTGCCACTAATAGCTGTTTGGTGGCGCTTAGGACTTTTCGGGAGCGAGGGGGAGGAGCGGAGATGTGGCACGCTCAGGGGAGGAGGTGGGGCAGGGGTGGGGACTTGGGGGAAAGGGGTGGAATGGGGGTGAGGCAAGGTGGGGTGGGGGGGGTCAGGGGCAGGGGGAGTGTCGAGCACCCACGGGGCAGAAGGGAAGTCAGCACCTATGCTATAAAGGTGACTTAAACAAGTAGTTATTCCCCTTTGTGTACAGGAATAAAAACACCTCTACACTAATATAACTGCATCCACACTAGGGAGATGGTACCGCTTTAATCATACAGTTATAGTTAATGTGGTGCAAATTTTGTATGTAGACGTGCCCAAAGTTGACAGTGTCCCTCTGTGGGAAACAGACTCCTAGGAAAATGTATAAACAGAGAAAGGGAAGGAATGTAACACAGGATAACCAGTAGCTTAACAAAGGTATTATTGAAAATAATTAACAGAACACCCCTTCTCCCAAACGAAGTGCCATTTAATACACTTTGGGTAAGCAGTGCCCCATGTTGGAGACACTTCCCATGTTTTGTCACCAGTCCCTATTTTGCACGCTGAGAGGGCTACTGCTCACCCTGGCCTGGTAGTTTCAGGATGAGGAGTTAGGGAGGATGAAAATCCATCTGTGCTTCACTCCCCAGCACTACAAGAGAACCCCTGCTTTCCCAGAACTCTGCCTCCTGGCCAGGCCTACCCTGTAGCAGGAATGATGGCTCATATGGGAGGCAGGATACTGGTTAACTTTTAACATTCCTGCCTGGTAGAAAACTCCAGCTCACATATTTCAAACAGAGAACTAAACTGAAGGCAGGTCTACACTACAAATTTACACTGGCGCAGCTGCACCAATGCAGTGTGTCTGGTGAAGATGCTCCAAGCCAACAGAAGAAAGCTTTCCCGCTGGCTTAATAATTCCACCTCTGCGAAAGGCGGTAGT